AAAAAAAACAAAAAAAAAAATATATATATATTAGTAATTTTTAAAGAAGAATAATAGTGGGTCCCATAAAATGCGCGGGGATTATATGTAGCTTATTCATAAAGGAAATTGATTGGAAATACAATTACTTCAACTCGTTAAGCATATTCTAAGCAAAAGGTTTTATTTATTGTATAGCTTATTCATAAGCATGCACTTATGCATATTCACGAACACCACAAAGCACAATGTGATATTACTTACAACAATTGTAAATATCGATAGAATAGGATGCAGACATCAGCTTCAATGGCGATAGAGGCGAATAGGCAATCCTTTTGCTGGCATAGGCATTGGATCCACAACAATCTTCTCATCTGGTATGATTTTTTCCCATTTGAACATTCTCACAACGTTGTACATAAAAGCAAGTATTTCGAGTCGAGCATATTCTTTTCCAGGACACATCCTTGGCCCTCCACCAAACGGGACGTATGTATAAGGAATTGGGCCATTGTCTTCGAACCTCGATGGATCAAACTTTTCAGGTTCGGAAAAGTACTCAGGGTTCTTATGCGTCGTGTTTGCATTCCAGTACAACTGCATGCACAATATCATATCAAGGTCATCATGTTGAAAAAATATTTAAAGTTGGGCTAATATTAAAAAAAATATTATAAATTTATACGTAAAATATCCATCCTTTCAGGATGTATGAAAATATGACACTGCATATCCACCTCTTCACGCCTGCTTTTCAAAATATAGTTAACTACATGTCAACTGTCATATTCGTATCCGTGCTTTATAGGTTGCGGATATACCTTCCATCCTTTCGGGATGGAGAAGCCGGAGTACATAAAGTCAGTAACAGCCTCTCGAAAACTTCCTTGAAGTGGAGGCGCGAGCCTCAATACTTCACAAGCCACGTTCCACGAAAACTTCATCTTCTGTATATCATCCCAATTTAAGAGCTCTCCCGGTCGTTTCCCCTCTGCAATCCCCCTTTGCTCTGTAAATACGATATAAAGACTAAATTCGAATAAATAAATGTAATCAATCTTTAGAAGCTCAAGAATTTAGTTTCATTGGAAATATGCACACAACAGGTCTAATTTGATGAAATATGAATCGAGATCGAGCGAGAAGCATGGTGAGGCTAAACGTAAATAAATGTGTTCGCTTTCATATAGCTCAAAGTTTTGGACAAGATGGTTAATCAAATCTCGAAGACATGAAAATTACCTTTTAGAACACCATCATAAATTCCTGGAAGCTCAGCAAGATATTTCATGATGAAAGTAATAGCAACACTGGCAGTATCGTGGCCACCAATGAGCAAACCAATTATCTTGTCAGCAATATTCAAATCAGTCATGAACTGACCTTTTTCATCTGAGGTAGTTAGCATATGGGATAAAATATCCTGAGTGGGCATGGAGTTTTTCTCCATCAGCTTGATTTTTCTTTGCCTGATTATTTCCAGGAGCTCCGTTCTGATCAAATTTGCAGCTTTAATTGAACGATTAAAAAGAGTACCAGGTAAATTTATCGGTATGGATAAAACTCCAGCAACCAACACATGAAATGGCTTCTCAAATTTTGCAATATGTTTTGGATCATCAATGCTCAAGAATAATTTACATGCCACTGCAAAAGTATACTGTTTTGCTAGTGGTAAAACAGTGATTTCTCTGTTCAAATCCCAGTTAATTTGGAGATGTTCTCGAGCAATGGAGTCCATACTTCCCACATATTTCTGCAATGCATCAGGTTTTAAAAAACCAGGCAGGAGGTTACGCATTTTATGCGATTCTTCTTTGACTGAGGTTTGTCGAGAAGTAGGAAAAATTTTCTCAACATTTCTTGGCCACCAGGAAGTTACAAGCTTATTTTCATTAGAAAATAAGAACTTATTTCCAGCAGGTCCACATAGAACTGCTATTTTTTCACCAAGTAACGAAGTTTTGAATATATCAGATGAAAATTTATTCATTCTCTTTTCAAAAAAAATTTCTGGGGTTCCTTTCCTGCCCATCGACAGAAATTCCAGGGTTTCTCCGACAACAGGCCAGCCAGTTTTCCCTGGAGGAATTTTTGAATAGCCATTGGTGACTATTTTAGGTTTAGAGAAAAGTATTTTTTGAAAGAGAGAGAGAGTTACTAGAAGAAGAATAGAAATTAAAAAGAGTTCCATGTCACTGCATTGATCGATTGATTCTGATACTAATTGTGGGATTCCTTATATAGATCAAGAAAAGCTTATAATTGTGGGATTCCTTATATAGATCAAGAAAAGCTTATCACACTAACTATGGTTATATAAACAACTTGAATATTAGTTTATGCACCGTTGAGAAAATCAAAAGAAAAATGTAAAATGGATGGTGCATTTGCACCCGTCACTATATAAAATAAAAAGTAAAACCCGTCACTATTTAAAATAAAAAGTAAAATTACGTGTTGAATCGAATATTTTAGTTCTTGTTATCAAAATCGAGAATTGGTCCGAAATTACCCGATTCTCGATTTTAATACTCGAAACTAATTTGAGTAGAATCAAACAGGTTCGATTCGATTCTGATTCTATTATGGTTCTAGAAAATTTAACATAACTCTCTTTGAACTCTGTATCAGATATGCAGCTAGTGTTCGGTTCGGTGAGTTTTCATATTTCTGTTAAAATTTGGAATTACATTTTAAAAAGTCAATACTGTTAAGAGGAGCAGTCCAAAATATTATAAATTGGTCTATATTTTCGTCTTTATTCAATGTGGGATTGTATCCCTTAACATGCCCCGCAAGATGGTGACTCGTTTGAACAAACCAATCTTGAAATTCGTGTGCTCATTTTTTTGAGTCTTAATCGAATCAAATTACTCGTTGGAGGTTAATGAGATCTGATATCATGTTACAATTTAGGGTTTCATCTTATAAGGTCAACCTTTTTAAGAGAACTCTTATAAATTAGTTTATGTTTTCATCTTTATTCGATTTGAGATTGTATCCTTTAACATACCATGTTAAAATTTGAGATTCCATCTTAAAAGGTCAACCTTTTAAAGATGAGTAATCAAAATTCTTATAAATTGATCTATATTTTCATTTTTATTCGACGTGGGATTGTATCCCTTAACAATTTCTACGTTAAGCTAATATTCTCAATCACATGCCTTCGCACGCTTCCACAACGTGCTTTATCTTTTCTCTAGCCTTTCCAATCTCATGGATCGACCCTCTCTCTTTAATTTTGTACTATGTTTATAGCTTACACCTAAATCTTTATGACAAGTTATTGTTCCTTGCCTAACTTCACCTGTTTTATTTCCTTTTTCCATAAATATTCATTTAATTGCCAAAATTTATTCCTTCAATTGAAGAGCACGACTTGATTCTCTCTACATGACACGATTGCACCCGTCTGTTCAATTAATAAATTCAAATCTGATCAAATTTCTATTAAATTAGTTTAAGTCAAATTCTCTACCGAAATTACTGCACTCCCATATAAATTTCATACAATCATACTATAAGTGCAAAAAAATTTGACAGATATAACAAGTAGTATTTATGAATGAGTGGTTGAAATTGATATTTGATTTTGAATGAAATTATAAGTCATTTATAAATTAGTATCTAGACAGAGGCTAAGATTTCATAAAGAAGTTAATTTTATTCTTTTTAGTTTTACAAGGATGGTTTATTCATTACGCAATTTTTGATCTTAATATTCATAAAATGAAAAATATTTTGCGTAAAATAAATACGTCGAGAAGAGTTTTATATAATAATCATTAGTCGGTTATTGTGCCAAAAATCAGCAACATATAAACAAGTCATCTTAGTTCTAGACTCGATCAGAACGAAATCTTGTCACACTTACAACTGTATATCTGTCCGCGTATCTACACTTGTTAGAGCATTTCCAATGTGAATTATTATACACGTGTCAAGAAAAATGAGAATTGAAAAAAGAGAGGATGTAGAGAAAGAATGGAGATAATTATAAAAATTAAAAGGAAAAAACATGTAGATAAATTATAAAAAAATGAGTGTACCATGTAAGTATTTTGGAGTAATATGGCATACTTTTTAGTGTAATCCTCGATTCCATTGGAAATGCTCTTAGCATCAAATAGTGTGAGCTCCCCGTCCAGCCTCACCTCGCTCTGTAGTGATGAATTTATGCATATATATTGAATAATGCTAAGTGTACATTGTTTGGTTAACAATGTAGCTTACATTTCATTGAAGTTCAAAAAAAAAGTTGTGGGCGGGGAGGTGTATTTTTTTATACTGTCCAAATAGTGTGTTGCCACGTGATACAATATAAAAAATGATGTACGTGTAGCATGATTCATATATATTTGTATCTCATCATTTCACATGCAGAGTTTGATTTGGTTTTCAGAAAAAGGATGACACTTGAAATTTTCATCTAATAGTTTAGGCTGACGGGGAAAGCATTTACTTATTTGATTTTAGCTTCTAACACGCGCACTATCTAACTCGACATTTCTAATCGATAATGTGTAAAGATTAAAGAATTTTATACATTAAACATTTGTACTAGTGGGAGGTTATGATAATGTGTGATCAGATTATTAACCCCTGTTTGTCTACAACTGAAGTAAGAAAATGAATTTTTGAAAAATGTGGTTCAAAAAAGAAAGTTTTTTAGGTTCATGTGCAAAATATTTATTATGAGAATGTATGGTTAAAAATGAATTTGATAAAAAAGAATTTTAAAATAATGGTAGACAAACAGAGACTAATGATGTATTTGATTTGCATTTTTCAATTTATTTTCAATTTTTTGTTTTGCAAAACATTGAAAATGTATTTGATGTGATATTTCTGAAAACGTATTTTCGAAAACAAGGAAAAACTTATAACATATAACTCAAAATGCATTTTTTACGTTTTGAGTGTTTTCGACGAAAAATCTGAAAACGTTCAAAACATGGAAAATAAATGTTTAAATAAATAATTTTTTTAAAAATATAAAAATATAAAATTCTAACAAATAAAAATTTAAAATATTAAAAAATAATAAAATTAAAATTTTGAAAAAATAAAATCTAAAATTCTAAAAAAATAAAAAAATAAAAAAAAATGGAAAAAAAATTATTAAAAATTGTAGAAAGATAAAAGAATAAAATCCAAACAGTTTAAGCTCTTAACAATTATTTTTCCTTAAAAATTCTAAAAAATATTTAAATAAACATAGATAAAATTATTTTTAGTCGACGCCATTAGTTTTTATTTTTGTTTCTTAAATTTTGAACTCAATTTAAGTCCCCGTCGTTATTTTTTATTCTATTTCCTATATTTTAAATTTAATTTATTATTTGTTTGTATTTTACTTTTGTAACAAGAAAAAAAATATTGTAAGATTTACCAACTTTAAAATGTATATATTACTCGATAATATATCAATATAAGATTATTCTATTTTTATTAAATAATCAAATTTAATGGAATAAAATGTCATAAAATAATTTTTCAAATTCTCATACCAAACTTGTTCTCTAATTTTCTATTTTAAGAAATAATTTTTCAAAATGACAAACCAAATGCATTTTTAGCAATCTTAAAACATATCTTGAAAATAGAAAATAAATTGAAAACTCAAACAAAACCCACCAAAAGGGCCCTGTATCTGAAAAGCCATTTATGACGAGTAAGATTTTGCATATCATGTTTCTTGTCCTTTTTTTTTTTCTTTTTTTTTTTTCCGGCTTTTTAAACAAGGAAAAGATGTGTGCTATAATGACTTGTCCAGCACGAATTGTCGTTGGTGCAGCAAATTTATAGAACAACTACGCTACAAGTACAATTTTTTTGACATCAAGTTTGACAATATGCCACATGTTGAAGGTTGAGTG